TGGTGATGTATTGAGTTATCAGTAGTAATTATTTTTTGTCTTCTTGCCCATAAAAGATTACTGATAATATGTTTTTCTCTGTTATTTTTCCCTCCCAAAGAGAATCAGAGTTGGTAATGACAAGGGTATTTAGCATGCTATAGCTCAGTCTTAACATGTCGTTATACCATAGGTTGTTTCATATGATGTTGAATAGCTTCATGGATTGTTTCTTACGGGGCAGGCTGTGTATGTGTTCTTATTTAAGAAGAAAAAAAAAATTAATGAGAGGAGCCTCAATTGCAATGTTCTAAACTCCCTCTCTGCTTATTTTTCTATTTTCCGTACTTTGTATGTTTCTACTTAGATCGATGGGTTTAAACCCTTGAATTGAAATTTATTTGACAGACTTTAAAGTTTTTGCCTTCTTGGTGCTCTTTGATACTTATTTTCTTTTGTTTATCTGAATTAATGTTTTTCCTGCACTCTTAATCCTTGCAGTTCACATAGTCCTTATTGATCCTGCAATTGTTGTTCTTAACTCAGGAGAGAAATAACAAGTCCATCACGTATTAGAAAAATCAGCTTTGCCCAGTGATGGAAATCATTACAGGATTAAAAACTAGAATCCGACTTTGGAAGAACTTCCATTCTCTTCTAAAACAGCTTCCACCAACGAAAAATGTTCTTGCAGATGTTTAATTGCACGTAGTAATGGAAAAAGATAATAGGTCAGAAGTTAATAGTTTACACCCATTTTTCAAACACGGTGGTTGTTTGTTTTGAACCTACACCAGGTTCACCCTATATCAGCAGTTTCCCACTCACACCAGCATAAACATTGAGTTTGATAAAAAAAATATATTGGTAGATTTGTGTATGCCCCCTTGGGAACTAATTCTGTGTGGAATTTTGTTGTATGGGTTATGGAGTAAATACATGTTGCATGACATGACTTATTCGAGTTCATTAGAGGGTCGTGGCGATGCCCATGGAAAGACAAGCTCAGGTCCTTTCCATGTTCTTTTGTGATCTTTGTTTCACAGTTCAAACGGGGGAGGTTTTGCTTCTGTGATGATATTTGGGTTGGGATTCCTATTTTAGTGTCATTTTCTGCCATATGTATAGGATCTCTTTGCTACAATTAATCACCCCAAAAAGATTATTTGCATTTGATTGTTTGCATAAACTTATCTTATGAATAGTTGAGTGCTCTTTAATGTCAATACTAATTTGCCCATGACTATATCTTTAATAGGTTGGATTACCACAGACGCTACCCTTCCGTAATTGCCTTGATTTATGCATGATCGAACTAATTTACTCTAGAATAGATAATTTTTCTGGTCTTCTTACTATTGTTGCAATGTTTTTTCAACGTTACAATCTCTCTGCAAAAATGCATTCTATGTGTTTTGCCTGTTTTAGTTCATCTTTCTATTGTTTGTTGTTGTCATGGTCACCCTGTGAGTGGAATTCTCAATTATGTATTCCTGCAGACTACATGATACATCTATTTTTTTGTTCATTCAGAAATGATACCACATGCTTGAAATTTTTATGTCATCACTTTGTTGGTTATTTTGTGTGTTCTTTCTAATTACTTTGCTTTTGGTTATCGGTGTCTACATCATGGTTTTTGGTAGTGAAAAGCCAACTAAATTTGATGGTTCGTAGTCTTACAGAGGGCTTTTAAACATAAACCAGCTTTGAGAGTCATACTCACCCATTGTTGATTTTCCTTGCATGCAAATTTCCTGCCCAAAGTTTTTGAACCTATGTTCTCAAACGACTGCATCGGCATATCTTTCCAACTTCTTATGGTCTTTGGTGCTAGAACATCTTCTAACTTCATTCTAAAAAAAATTATTCATAAGTAAAGAAATGTAAAAGCTGTTAAGTAAACTGAATTCAAGTTTGCCTACAGCTTCTAATTGTGTCGTTTGAAAATCCTTAATTCTGTGTTGGATTTTAATATTGTACCCAGTCAATCTGAGGGAATCCATTTGATTTCTCAGAATTGTGTGAAAAAATAGGCAAATACATCTAGACCTTCAACCTGCTTATTTTAAAGTCTTTAACTTTTTTTTTATTGATCTTTGTTATTTTTTTTTTGGGGTATCTAATAGGCCACTTTTGGCACATCTCGGTTGTACTTCTTTTTCAAAAGCATGCCACATTTGAAACTTTGAATTTTTGAGTTTATACAAATCTATTTCTCATTAGTTAATGCTTAACATTTGCCCTTTTGTTTCGAGATTAGAATGAAATCATTCTTATTTTTCCCTGTATTTTAAAATGGGATTTGGAATATGGTTTGCATTTGGTTTGTGTGAGTCATGCTTTGCCTGAAGTTTTATATCCTTCTCAAATCTCTTTAAGCTCCTTGCTCTGTGTACATTTTGCTTGAAAGTTGTTTAGGATAGTTTTATATATTTTTTAAAGGGGATTTAAAATTTTACGTGCTATGCGTAAGGTGTTTCAACATGTTGTCCTATGCCTAAAGTGTCTTTGGCATTTGACGTGTGATGTTTACCTTTGTTGCATCTCACTTTATCTCTTCATTTACAATGCTATAACTTTTCGCCCGTAAAATGTTTTAATATAGTTATCTCGAATATCTTACCATCACCATTCTGCCACAGATTAAGTTCTTATCACGACCTCAATGCATTTTATGGGTGGGGATGAGCGGTACAAATTTTTGGTTTTAGTACGTTTTTGTGTTTGTTGGAACTTCTTGATTAATTTTTTTTAAATAATCTATCATCTGAAATGGAAAAATTGAATGCGAAAAAAGGTCATGGTGATAAGTGATATCTTCCCATTCTTAGCTGCTTCTCTTTTGTGAAATCTAACTCTGTCGTAGATTAAGTTCGTTATAATGTTCCAGCTTGAGTCCATTGCACTGTCACAGATTGAGTTACTTTTTCTGTGTCCATATGTTTGTGCTTTGAATTCTTACTCTAAATCTCATTAATTTTTTGCAGTTTGGATCAGACTTTCATCGGAAAATTGTGATCTCCTCTTCCTGCTACCTTTGATCTAGGGGTCCGGAGCAATTGCATTTGAATCAAAGTTTGGTATGTCGCCTAAACTTCGATGTGTTGTTTCACCATACTTTCCTTTCAAGCAACGCAAATTTATCATTTTTCAATCGATTGTTTGGTTTTCTCAGTTTATATCGTTTGTTTGCTCTGTGCTTTGTTTCTCGTTCTTGGTTGTCTCTGTAATCCTTTGATAGTTCATAAATTTACATGCTATTTGGATACTAGGAATATTCATGGAACTCAAACAAGATTGTTTTCATTGCTCGGCTCTGTAACATTTTTCACAGAGCTGTTGACAGGGAGGCACACACTGTTACCTACTCCAGGTGCTCGGTTGAGTAAGGACCCGTTTGGCGCTAAGAAGAAGACCAGCCCCTCGGCATAGGAGGGGGTGGTACTGTTTTTTGTGTTGATCATGAACGTGAAACTTGTGCTGAAATCAGCAAGTCTTCCTGTATCATTGTCCTAGAGGAGGAAGGGTTTGCCATACCTGGCACGGCCAAAACTTCCATTAACCGCAAGTGTTTCCCCTCCCTCTCTACCTTTGGTGAGGTGAATGAGTTGGTTGCGGATAACAGCATCTCCCTCGGTAACTAATTTTTTCAACACATCCGTACCGTTGGTGTGATCACCTTGTCGAAAGTGGGAAATTTCGACAAGCCGACAGCTTCCGGGACCAAGGAATTGGTGTTCTCCATTTCACCATGGCCTGAGGACCCAGTTTTTTCTTCAGGTCTGGTGGTAGAACTAGACGACACTGATAGTGATATTTCAGGAGCAGAGGTAGTCATTGGCGTCCTTGATGGGAGAATGAGCAACGAAAGTTCGGATTTGTAGTTAAGCACTTGAAACACTTGTATTGAAGGTCTGGATTTGTACTCTTGACAATCAACAAGCACTTCATTTGTTCATCATCAAAACTTCCACACAACTTCGGGTCAGCTGCTTTTATTGAGCTTCCTTTCCTGTGAATTAAGCTTTCCGTCTTTGATACATCCCTCTTATCATCAAGTGGTTGGTGCGACTTGCTCGGCAAGGGGTGAGTTCACCCATTGATCCTCTTGAATTACAAGTTTTTGCCTTTGAAAAGCGCTTTTTCTTTGCCAAAACCCTGCAAAATTCCCCTAGCCATAGACTTGCCACCTAATTTTGTCACGTCATAATAATTTTTAAATACTGGGCCCAGTCACTGTTCAAATAGGCAACGATTGAATAGGCATTGGACCGTTGGTGATTTTCTGAAGGAATTGGGCCGGTGCAAAGGCCCAAAGTTTATTTTCAATTCAGATGGCAGCCATTTTTGCTTTTGGTGGGAAAAAAAAACACTGGATACTCTATTGTCACCAATTCACCACGTGATAAACGAGCGGTCTCTAAAACAGGGAAGCAAATGATTGCAGAGTTGAAATTTCCAGTTAAAAATATATACACAAAGGTTGATTGGCGGGAGGACTTGGAGACCTGGTACTGACTGTAGTGAAAGTGTTCCGAAACCAGCACTTGGGGCCATCAACTTTCTCACTGCTAAATGGGGGTTGCAACGCTTAATCTGGTACTCTTCTTTACTTCTTGGAAACTGCTGTAGTTTCTTTTCGGTGCATTTTTCCTGAATTCTCCGGTCTTTTTAGAGTAATACTAGAAATACCAAATTTTGTAACGTGATTTTTTATGATTGAATTATTACTTAAGTGTTTTTTTATTTTTTTTTCAAGTATTACTTAAGTGTTGATTAACGTGTTTATTTTTTATCGGTGATTTTTCAATTTGATTTAAAAAGTTGGTCTCCCTCACATGTGGATTTAAATACTCTTAGTAAATTGAATTTTATCTTAACCATCATTCAATGCACTTTTATAAGGTCCAAAACTCTAAAATTTTCCTGAATTACAAAATGGTTCTCTTTATTTCAATGGTGAGTTTCTTGACAACTTACATTAGGAAAGTAATAGCCCAACCCTTTAAATTTCATCTCTACCCTGAATCCGAAGGGTCTAAGCTCTCAACAACACCTTCCGGGACCAACGAACTGGTGTTATCCATATCGCCATGGCCTGAGGACCCACTTTTTTCTTGAAAACTGGTGGTAGAACTAGACAACGCTGAGAGTGATATGTCAGGAGAGGTAGTCGTTGGCGTCCTTGATGAGAGTACTGCTGGGTCTAAGATCACAACGACACCTTCAGGGACCAAGGAAACCATGGCTTGAGGACCCTTTTTTTTATTCTCAATACGGGTGGTAGAAATAGACGACGCTGAGAGTGGTATGTCAGGTGAGGTAGTCATTGGCGTCCTTGACAGGGGTGTAGCAATATTCGACTCTGGGTGTAAGGCCACAGTGACAGGTTCCGAAGGGTCTAAGCTCTCAACGACACGTTCCGGAACCAAGGAATTGGTGTTATCCATATCTCCATGGCCTGAGGACCCACTGTTTTCTTGAAAACTGGTGGTAGAACTAGATGACGCTGAGAGTGATATGTCAGGAGGAGAGGTAGACATTGGCGTCCTTAATGGAGGAATGAGCAACGGAACTTCGACCTCGCAGTTAAGCACTTGGATCACTAGTTGCATTGAAGGTCTGTAACTGTAATCTGGATGAGCACACCACAGCCCGACAATCAACAAGCACTCCATTTGTTTTCCATCAAAACTTCCACACAACTTCGGGTCAGCTGCTTCGATGATCTTCCCTTTTCCATAAAGCTCCCAAACCCACTCAATTATATTGACTCGACCACTTGCCAACCTTGGTTCGATGGCCTTTCTCCCACAAGAAATCTCCAAAGCAACAACTCCGAAGCTGTAGACGTCAAATTCCTTGGTAACTGTCTGTGTGGCAGCATACTCTGGAGCTAATAACATAGTGTCCCAGTGCTTTTCACATGGATACCGAGCTAATCTAAAATCCCCAAGTTTGGTATTGAAATCCGAATCCAACATAATGTTGCTGGATGTGATCCCCCGATGGAGCACACATACTTCGCAATGTTCGTGTAAATAAAGCAACGCAGAAGCCAGGTCTTGAGCAATTTTGTATCTTACCTCCCAAACTAATGAGATCTGTGCTTTGAATAAATAATTGTTTAAGCTTCCGTTAGGCATGAACTCGTAGACAAGTAGGAGTTCTCCTTGTTGCTGGCACCAACCAAGAAGTTGCACCAGATTCCGATGTGCAAGTCGACTGATAATCGTTATTTGTGATGCATACTCTTTGAGCACCAGTTCAGATCTTGACATCTTCTTCACAGCAACATGTATGTTCCACTCTTTTATGCAGCCTTTGTAAAAGGCACCATATCTTCCAACTCCAAGCAATTCTCCATCAGAAAAGTTCCTCGTCGCCCCAGCCAACTCTTTATAACTAAATTTCTTCAGGGAGATCTTTTCACCCAGTTCATTAGGAATGGTAAGGTCTATATCAGCCTTTCCTCCTGTTGCTCTTTTCTTGCACGAGTTATACAAACCCAAACCTAAAATACAAGCCAAGATAAACCCACCAATAGCACTACTGAACTTAATATCCATTAAGACCACAAATCTGAACTTTTAAAATTTGATTTAACAGTTACAAACAGAGATTCATTTTAAAAATTATAATAACTTTAGCCGTTAAATCAAATTTCAAATGCCTGAATATGTGGTCTTGGCGGACTTGGTGGAAGGGATATGGAGAAGATCTATTTCCGTGTTTGTCTTCTAAAACATGAATGAGAATCCCCTCCGGATCCTCTTTGTGAGGATCTCGAGAATTCTCTAATCACATCCGTTCATTGTATATCGTACGGTCAATTTTTGTCAGATACTGTTTATATTTAATTTTAAATAAAAAGATTTACAATAATTTCTAACTGCACGATATACGATGAACGGATGTGATTAGAAGATCTACGAGATCCTCACAAAAATGATTCGGACAGGAACCTCATTCCTAAAACATAGCAAATATCGCCCAAAAGGGAAGTTAAATTTGTATTGAAATTGAAATAATTTGCCTGAAAGTCAATGAAAAGGAAGTTATGGTCAGAAAATGCCGCAATGAGGAGGAAGAAGAGGAGGGGCATGGAAAAAGGAAAATGTCTTCCCTTTGGAAGGTTTTTATTTTTATTTTTTGAACTGAAACTAGGATTAACCAGGGCACAACGGCCAGCAAGAACAAAGAAACAGAACAAACAACGACATCAAGGAATTACTAACAGATGCAGCCTCAAATGGCAGAAGCGTCATCCCACAAAACAGAACAAAAGCTACACAACCGGAAGTTTGAATGTTGTTTTTGTTGTTGGTCTAATTGTAAGAAGGAAACAAGAGACGGAGTCATACCAGACCACGGCAATGACTGTTAAAATTTTAACCCGAAGCCGGGCGGAGCCAACTTGATTTATGAACTAAACATGTAAGTTGTAACGCTTACGATGGGTCATCAATTTATTACACTTTTCGCAAGAGAATTTCATGTGAAAGGGTCAGATTGATCGACTCAATTTTTTTACTAAGAAAACTAGACTGTATGAGGGGTGATTTTGTTGAATTGGAAAATAAGATGCACCTAGGTTTTTTTTTTTTTTTTTTTTTTTTTTTTTTAGTACATCGATATTTTTATACTAAGGAGAGGGAGAGTTCGGCTAAGCCACATAATCAGCAGCCTAATTTGATATCAAATTCGCCATTCACGAGATTTGAACATAAGACCTCTTACTTCCAAGTGAAAAAGAATACTACTGGACATTAGTGGCCAAGATGCACCTAGTTAGTGTCAGAATATTTCATAATATTTTTTTAGGAGACTTTAGATGCGGTCCTTAGTTATGAATATTCTTTGATTCAAACCTTGTTGGTTTTTAATTTTTGATCGAGATCCCTGAAATTAATGTGATAATTTATTTCTATATACGTTACTATATTTTTTAAATTAAAAATTAAAAATTTTAGTTGTTTATATAAATGAGATTTTAAATAAAAAACCATAATTTGTGGGATTAAAAATATTAAAATATAAATATACTATTTTGTGTGTGTGTGTGTGTGTGTGTATGTGTATAAACATGGGTACGTTCATCAAAATTAACCAAAAAAATTATTGTATCAAAACATGGGTACATAATACATTCTTCAAAATCACCAAAAAAAAAAAAAAAAATTAGGCTTAATAACATTAGTAAATTTTTTCGATTAAACTTGACATGGATACATTTTAAAATCAAAGAAAAAAGAATTAATGTACCCATATAAGTTTAAAAATGGATTAGAAAAAAATTGAATAGATTTTATATATATAAAAAAAAAGGTACATTTTACATATAACAAATTGGTATATTTAAGTATGAGTACATTTTAAGATTAAAAAGTTTTACATGAATGGGTACATATAATTAGCATGGGTACATTTTGGAAAATAAAAAGTACAAATAAAAAAATATATGGGCACAAATACAAATAAACTTTAAAAAATATGGGCACAAAAAGAAATTAATATATGGGTACAAATTAAAACTGAAAAGAAAATTGATACAAATTAAAAAAGAATTACAAATTAAAAATGGGTACAAACTAAAACTAAAAATATATGATAAAAAATTTTAGTCATAAATATAAATATACTAATTGTAACATTTTTAACATTAAATGAATATATTTAGAAATAAAAAATATTTTATTATTGAAACAATTAATGATGTTATTAATACTCAAGGATCTTGATCAAAAATTGAAAATGAATGAGATTTTAATCAATAGAGTAGCAAAATAAAGGATGAGAACATAATTTCTCCTCTTTTTTTTTTTTTTTTAACAAACGATATTATCCATACAAAATAAGAGGGGTGGACTTAGCATCACAATGGGCTAACAATAATGTAGTTTAAATTCATCATTGGTGAGAATCACCTAAAACCTATCACTTACAAATTAGAAAAATATCATAGACCGTAGTACTAAGTAGCAGGATATTTCATAATATAAATTAATATGCTTGAATTGGTGTTGGGGAAGAAAAGAGAGAAGTAAATGGTGATTGAAAAGTAAAAGTGAATCGGTGGGATAATTTATGTCTCCAATACGGTTGCCATACAATTTGAATCCAAAAACTGAAACAGTTTTATAAGATTGAATGGCAGCCATGGTTTGGTTTACGTTGCAGCATCCACTGTTTGTATTTGTGTAGACTAACAACTCTTCATTGAAAAATTGAAGAGGGATGTCAACTTGTATAAATAGAGGTTGATTACTGCAGATCACTCTCCTCTTCGTATATTATTCACGCAAGGCCTGCATTAATGTCTTGTAATTTTATAATACCAGATCTGGAAACTAATAAACTGTAGTGTTAATTAGTTTCTAGAATCCTTGAGTTTTTTGTAAATCTTCTTTCGATGTTGGGTAGATCTTCGTAAGCGCAAGACGCGGACCAACAATAGCAAGTTGCTAGGTTCTATTATATTCACAAGGCTCTTTCACATATCACTCTTTACACACTAGATGCGGGGACAATAGTCTGAAAGATAACGTATTTATACACACCTTAAAGCAATCTCTCATGATATAGTATAACCCACACACTATAAATACTTCTCAACAGTTAAGGGATCACCTTCCCCTCGGAGAAAATCAGAAAATGAAAAAGGGGAACACGCACCTAACCTTCTTGAGAGAAAAAAAAAAGAGAGATAAAAGGAAAAAAGAAGGGTACATATATAGAACTATTTTCAGAGGTAATTAGGGCTAATTTTGAGTTTGTTAGATATATTTATTAATTTTATACACTTAGAAGTGAAAAATGAAAAAAAAAAAAAAAGAAAAATTTAGAGCTTGTTTGGTATCCTATTAAAAATGTCATCATTTCTCAAAACATTTCTTAAAAGCATCTCTTGAAAAAAAAAAAAAAAAACAACAACAAACTGTTGCAGTCCTATTAGATTAAGAATGTGATTGTGTAAATGCTAGTATATTTAGGGATATCTTTGAATATTCCCTTTAGTAGTTAATATCCTATTAGAATTGTAATCCTAAAAGGGTAAGGAATTAACCTTCCCTATTACTATAAATAAAGGCACAATGGGGTGGAATAGAACACACCTCACAATTACACATCTCTCTTTCACTTTACTATTGCCGCACCCCTCTCTCTATGGCCTCCATAATTGTTCAGTAAATTATGTTGTCCTCTATAATTGTTCAATAAATTATGTCTACAATACGTTATCAGACTATCAGTATGCTCTTGACGCTGCGCTAAAGAGAGTTTGATCTTCAATCAGGAGAGTATTACGTTTTAATCATTTTTTTTTATTATAATTAATTTATTATTTTATTAAATTGATCTACATGCTATTGATTCAATTTTAATTTTTCTTTGTTGAACGTGATACAACGCATTAGAAATGCAATTCCGGCTTTCCGAGATGGATTTTCTACAAATTCAAAGGCTTTTATTGTTTTCTGCCAATCAAGTACACTTAGAATAAAAGAAGATATTTGAAACGACCTTGAAGCATGAAAACATTCCCCATGATGCATGAACCTCCTATATTTATATTTTCCTTCCAATTATATATATTGTCTATATGTTCATATACTTTGTCAATGTATATACTTGTTCATGCAATACACAATTATGCTATGTGGAATTTGTGAGTCAAAGTATCAAAATTAATTTAGAAGCAATTAAGGGTTTTTAACCCTAGAGATTCGAAAAAAAAAAGAAGAAGGGAAAAATGGAATTTTTGCGGCACCACCGCCGCACTACCGTAGCACCACCATAGCATCACCACGATGGCCTGAAGCCTAGCCGTGTGGAGGAAACAGTGTCGTACAGACACTTGGACCATGCACACAACCATTTGGGCTTGTTGCCGTGTTGAAAACCAACCAAGCTCCGCCCTGGGTTAACCAACCACACAAGCCTGAAGCCCCGATTCACATCCTGAGCCCATAAACCGCAAGCTTTTGCTTGCTGGGCTTGAGAAAGCCCTAGCCTGTTGCTACCACAGCCAACCCTGCAGGTTGGGCTTGTCCCATGGCCCTAACTTCATTAGGCCTCACATGAGCTGACCCGCAAGCCAGCTTCAGCTGGGCTTCTTTTTCCCTCGGCCTGTGGCCTGTTGACACTTTTAGGCAGCTTTTGCATCCAACCCAAGCCCAAACCCTTTTAGGCTATGGTTTTCAAATCCAATGCTTTTTTTTGTTTTGGCATTTTAAATAATTTTAACCCAAATGTTATTATTATTTTTTGCTTCTACAATCAACCCTGTATGGTCCGATTTATTGAATTAATTAAAGTGACCAACAGACCATTAATCTGACAATTAATCCAAAATTATTGGCCTGAAGTCCACTTTTTGGCAATTAACTATTCAATAAATTATTTCTTTTCTTTGAACCGTTGACATCCTTTCGTAGTCCTAAAGCGCTCACACTTGAGTTCCCGAAGCAACTCAAATCCACTACACTTAAATCAGTATATTGCATTATGTGTTCTTGCAGGAACCTCTCTTTTATGAACTAAACGTTCATAAATTAAATTGAACATG